TGTCCTGAGATAACTTCTGTTATGAATTGGCGCTATACAAATAAAATTGAATTAAATTATTACAGTGTGATGTAGAAACTTGAAGCCACCAGTGCACATCCACTGAGAATGGACTTTACAGTGAAGTAGGAGACATCTTGTGTCCAGCAGGAAAACCTTGGAAATGAACAAAATTAGCATATTCATAGATTCTGGGATTTTTAATGAGGTAGAAGGAGTAGATGCCTTTTAAATATTTTAATGTGGAAATTAGACTTTTTTTGTGGAAAAACATATCAGACAGACATTATTGTTCCAAACAGACTGTTTGTATATATGTATTATCACATTTCTGGAGAGGATGTAACATCTCCACTGCTCCCTGACATACATCGTTTACATTTTTGATGCTTTATTGGAGGGATGAATACCATTCTGGGTTGAGATCTGGTCAAATACCAACACTTTGGGTGGGGGACTTGAAGGTAGTTGACTGTTAAAGCTATAATATGAAATATTTCCACATTAAAATGTATATAAACACAAGACCTGTGTTATATATGTTCTTGAGTTTGGTACTTACATTATCCCAAATGTTTCCAACAATGTTCAAACCCAGAGAAATCTGTCATTTTATTCAAGTAAATCAATGGCATTTACGGACCGCGGCTTTAAAGCAGCTGCATTCATTTATTCAGGCTTTTTCTTTAAATCAACACCCAACAACACCATCAGTTACAGCAGATATAATGTTCACTGATGGATTACACAATTTAAAGCAAGTCTGTGCAGGTTGATTTACATTCAGTGAAAAGCAGTGGGTGCATGGATGGAAAAGCACATTAAAAAAACTGAAACACTGCTTTGAAAACAGTTAGCAGTGATGCAAAGCATGGGCTTAAATATGCAAAATGGTTTTAAGACATTATCGGATCTAGTATAGCTTTTCTTTGTCTGTGTGCAGAAAAACAAGCTCCAGTTAGTGCATCCCCTGCAGTGAGCAGTTTTGGCTCATGCGTGGTGCTGATACAACCAACACTGGCTTTATTGTGGAAACATGTTAGTTTGAATCCGGTTTAAAAAGTTGAATATAAAGTCCACAGAGTGGTGCTTGAGTGGGTTGAAGTGGGTCCACAGCAAAAGGAAAAAAATCTAAGTTTAAAAAGAAACTTGGGTTCCTGTCCTGGCTGCAACCACAAATAATTACCATTGCAAATGTAACCAAAACACAGCAGCCAGGATTCTGTTTTAACACGTGATGTTTTCATCACATGCACAGGTCTGTTAGGAGCAAGCCTACTGAGAAAGGATACAAATACAGTTGTTGGGCACCCTCCAATCCCGTAGTTTTACATATGGATTTACTAGTAGAGGAAGGATTGGGAGTGTATACGAAACAGTTAACACAAATGCAACCAAACCCCATGTATTCTGCGTGACTGTGCAATTTTGTCCAATCACCGCAACCTTTCCTGCAAATTTTACCAATCAATGTAGTTTCCTGCGCAAAACGTTGAGCTATATCTCCCCAAACTCACTTTATTTGTAGATGTGAAGATGCAGACCATGTAGACATGAACATCTCACATTTACCCTCCAAAGATAATTTAAACCTAACATACATTTTGTTGTCATCATTTTTTATGAATGATATAAAAAAACACAACTATTATTGCAGTTTTCACTTTCTCCTGCAATTTTAGTAAAAAACTCCCTAAAAACAGCGGTACAGTAAAAACAGTAATTCTTTAAGAAAAGTTGCCTTAAAATCAGGCTTTCAGGCTTGAGTGAATCCTGGAGGGAGTGGAAATCGCCATGTTGGACAGTTATGAGTGTTATATATCAAATGAAAGCTCTCAGTGAGATAATTTCAGTGCCACAACTGAAATGATGACCCATATGTTGTACATTAAAGAAGGCTGAAAGTTGTAACAGTGGGGTTTTGTTAAGTGCCAAATAGGTAAGATAAGACTCTAAAAATATATTTAAAAAAGATGAATACATCTGTAGTTATACTGTTTATAGAGGGTTTCAAAGGTTTTTAACAGAAAAATTAGAATCAGTTGATTTGCAATGTTCCTTGTAGCCGAGAATTTTAAAAGCCTTTAATATTGTTTATATTTTCAAAAAGTTTCACACTGCGAATTAGTAAAATATCTTTTTGTTATATTCTCCTTGTGCAGCGATTTGTTCTGTCACTGCTCTTGTGTCTTTCAAGGGCTGGCTGCTTAAATTGCTATGCATTAGCACCATCTGGTGGCTGAATAGAGCAGCAGCAGCATGTACAGTTCAAACTGGAGAATATTTTTTTAAGTATAATTGTGCTGAAAACACGAGGGTTTTTATATTTTATTTAAAAAATAATACAATTAACACACACTGTAAGTTATTCAAATGAATTGTTGAAATGGATTACATTGAATGTTTTAAGTAACACAAACTCAGTTTTGTAAGTTAAAAAATATTCTTGAATAAGGACATTTTACTAGGTATTTTGTTTTCAAAGCACAAATACAAATTACTAAATTAAGTCAGTGTCACTTGAGCAAGAAAGGTTTTTTAACTTACAAAATAAGTACATTTTACTTAAAGATATTTGCTGCAATGAGTTTAAACAATTTTTGAAGTTGTTTTTACAATGCATATTAAATAATGACATGAGGATGAGAATACACACAGTTCTGTGGCACAGTTCACAGCAGAATGTTGAGATGTGAAAGAAGCAAAAGCCTATGGTTTATGAAAAGTGCAAAATCACGGTGTGTGTGCAGAACGCAGCATGTTGTTGTAATGGTAAGGTCATCCCTGTCTCGGTAATGGGTAATAAGGTCTTCATGTTCAACACACACACACACACACACACACAAACACGGAGACACTTGCAAATAAAGTACTTTGCGTACATTAATGCAGCGACTGATAAAATAAAGTCACATCAGCAGAAATGCAAAATTGCATGCACACCTGTAAACCTGTAAACAAACGCGTAAAAACAAACACCCTCCGGGCACGCATACACAGTGCAAGATCAGGCAGTGTCCACGTTCTCCTGACACACACACTGAGCGAGCAGGTGGGTTTATGAGTAACAGTGTTACATTAAATGTTTCTCAGGGCCTCTTGTGCATTAGTGTGTGTGTGTGTGTGTGTGTGTGTGTGTGTGTGTGTGTGTGTGTGTGTTGTGTGTGTTCGGTGTTGGATATTGTACGGTGTGCTTGTCTTAAATGTCATAAAATGTCAGGATCTTTGGTTCACTGATCAAGCCACGTGGTCAAACTAACACAACATGAGGTGTACAGAACACAAGACATCTCGAAAATAACAGAAAAGAAGCCAAGTAGGATGATTAAGACGCACTGTAAAATTTTTTGAGAAAACCCAGAATTTCAAGGCAACTGTCTTCACTACATGTTTTCAGGTCAAACAAAGTTTTGAAACTTCTTTAGAAAAACTTTAATCTTAATCTTTAACTTTTACAAACACAAAAATCTATATTTCATAGCTTAATATATATAATTGATACATTGATTGATAATATAGTTCACAAGGTCAACAAAAATGTATTTCAAGACTTAAAAGTTCAAGTTAAACTCATAATTATGAAGTTTAGACAGTTTAAAATGAGTTTTCTTAATTAGTTTTTTACTGTGCAGATACAGGAGCAGCTCGGCATCAGAGAAACACAGATTTTTAAGGTTGAACTACTTAATTCATGGTTTTTACCCGTTTTAATCACGGGGTCTGTTTTGGAGAGGAGACTTCTGTGGACAATTCGTTTTACAGAAACCTCTTGAACCATGAACACTGAAGGAATCCTAACCGGGAGAAGCTGACTGCAGTGACAGCAATGGTGGTGAAGACAACAACTCTGATGATCCCAGGTTGCTTCACAAAGTCAACAAACTTCATCTTTTGTTTTTCTTTTGAGAGACCCCCATTGCAGCAGAAATTACATATTGTACTTTAAGGGGAGACGCAAATAAACAAAGTGTAGTAAATTAAACACTTAAATGTGTATTTGGGTGTTTTCTAGCCCAAAATCTCAAATTTGACCACTGCATGAAAAAAATCATGTTCTTGTGTGGTGTCTCAATGAAAAAACTAAATATAATAAGATCAACAGGCACTGCATAAAATCCTGATTTAAGTACTACTTAAAGGTAAGTAAACTTAAAGTGTGTAGGATTTAGTGGCATCTAGTGTTGAAGTTATAGACTGCAAGTCACTCACTTCACCCTCCCCTCCCAACTGCGAGGGAGGAACTACAGTGGCCATGAAAGGCCCTATCTACTATCTACAACCAGTGTTTGCTACTGTAGAAACATGGCGGTTCAGCATCTCCGTAGAAGAGGACGCTCTCCCTCTGTCGATGAGAACAGCTCATTCTGAGCTAACGAAAACACAAGGACACTTATTTTCAGGTGATTATACACTAATGGAGACATACCAACGAATACTATATTCCATTTCTGCCAATAGATCCTCCTAAATGCTACACACTGGACCTTTAAGGTGGAATGTTTTTTTGCATGTTACTCATTGTGTTAAAAGGTTGTGAATCAATCTATTAACACCTTAAATGTCAATATGACATATTCATTTGTTTTCTAATCAAATATAACTCGTATTGAGTTAATATAAATTAAATGAAACCTATGCAGCCTATTAAATCTAAATATTCCTCTTTCTTAGGAATAACGAACACAATCTTAAAATTCGTGCCAGCCAAAACCCATTTTTGGACTTTGTGTTGAAACAAACATTTTGAATTGATATTTTCTTAAATATTTGCCACAGACATTTCAGGACACAGTTCTGTTGAATAGATCTGACCTAATACAGCATTTAAAGTCTACATGGCCACAGAATCATTTGTTACAATGTAGAGGAAAAATGTGCATCACCATCATCATCCTCATCCTCTTCCGCGTATTTTCCCTCCACCCAGGTGATGATGATGATGATGATGATGATGGCGCTGCTGTGGGCGGAGGCTTCCGCTCCTGTTAATAGGCAGAGGACGCTGCAGACGTAACCAGATGGAAGGAGCTCAGAACACATTGTCGCCCAACCTTCCACTACAGAGGCGAGCTGGGGGACACCGCTGGAGACAGCAGCCGTCCAGCAGGTATCTGAGGTTATTTACTGTTTAAATCGCGGCTTTAAGACCGCCATAGAATTTCAAACAGGCGACTTTTTGCTCATTCATTCAAATCAACAGTTGTGTTTTTGTCTAGAAATAGTTTTGAGAAGCAGTACCATGTATATAACATTACAACATTTTTAATTTACATAGGAAAGAAAGTTAAAGGTGACTTATAAATTCAAACGCACAACATAGTACAATATAAGAACTGTGCAATATTATAAGAGTATAGGGAAAATACAATGGAAACTGGTCACTGTAATGTGCAGTCGAAAAATAGAATATATAGTATTATGGATAATTAAAAAGTGCAGCTACCATATATTTTATCGCTAACCAACTGTATAAGAAAATGATTATTATAGGAATGTCTTAGAAAACTTGCAGTGCCACACAAAGTCCCTTTGAACTATTATTTGACAAATAATTAAAATTAAAGAACTATTAGTATATTATATCATATATACAAAGAGTTAAAGCAATGTCATTTGAAAAAAAGTATCCCATAAATAGCTACCAGTCTCTCTGTAGAGTAATGTGGATATTAAAAGGAAACCCTATCACAATATGATCAATAAGCCTTTGATTTACGAATAAAAAGTCAATGAAATACATTAAAGTCACTGCAGAATAAATATACAGGTTCACAGCCACACCTTGATTAAGTTTAAGTCTTTACTTTAAAAGTAAGTAGTGAGTGAAAAACAGGTTAGACTGAGTGCAAATAAACAGTTCTCACTGCCTCTCCCTCCCTTATTAGTGACTGCTATGTAATCCAGCAGAACCACTTAACTGTAGTAAAACACACTGGTAATAAAGGTTGTGTAGGGTGCAAAACCTTTAGTGCGTTTGAGTTTTAAAGGACGTTCAGGAGAAAAATGAGCCACAACAGTGCATCAAAATGTGATTAAAATGCATTCAAATTCCCTTGAAACCATGAGGGTGAGAGAGTGTAGTGGTGAGTCCCTTCATTTAAGATTTGATTTAAAAATAGAATAGAAGATCCCTGTTTCAGTTTAGTTTTTTTTCCTTATCCAAATCAAGGGTTTGAGGATAGAAGTTGGTAAACGCTGTTCAGATTGTAAAGCCCTAATGAGGCAAATTGTGCTTTGTGACTTTGGGATGTGTTAAAAACTTGACCTAAGCCTAGTAAAAAGCTGTGCAATGAACATCACAGTTTCAAAAACCTCCCTGCAGGTCCAAAACTTAGACGTTTCCTAATAAAACTCTAAAAGCTGCAAACAAAACCTCTGCTTACCCAGCATTCTCCTCAAGAAGTTGGTTAACCTTGTACTAATTATTTTAAATCAATATTGACTCTTCTGCAAGTAGCATTGGGAGTAAACCTGTTTTGTAAACTACAGTGGATCCAATGTACTCTGGTGAGGAAATGTCACTGATGCTATTGTTCCAAACGGTTTCCACTAGTGAAACATTTTCAGGCTGCCTGTACAGAGCTAAAATAGAGTGAATGGAGCGATTTTTGCATTTGCAAAGACTTGCATGCGTTCAGACAGTCGACCCCAGCTGTCCTCCACAGACCAGATCCCTCTGCTGAGCAGCAAACGTGGGCAACAAGCACAAACACCAGCCCTGATGCAGGATCCTCATGCTACAGTCCTGTATCATGGCTAGTGATAGCATTGCTAAGAGAAAAAGCAGCTGTGTACTTAATATTGACTATTGCAGTTCAATACCATCAGCACTGAGCTTTACCCATCTGCAGGGCCGTAACCAGGAGGTAATGAGCCCCTTGACCACAATGTTTTCTGGCCATTTTGTGAACAAATATATTCTTTTAGTGAATTTCTTCCCAACTCCAGGTCTTATTAAACTATTGCCTATAAACAGGCTTCTGTTCCAAGCATTTGCCCACTACAGTGGCTGCAAAACATGTGAAAAACAGCCCTATCTAGAGCGAGTTTTTGGTTTGTCCGTTCCTCTACTGTAGAAACATGGTGGTTAAACATGGCGGACTCCATGGAAGGTGAATACATACCTAGGAATATTATATTCCATTTTTGCCAATAGATCCTCCTAAATGTTACACACTGGACCTTTAAATGAGGGGTGTATAAACCAAAGTACTGGACAAATTGAAACTTTTATCTGGCTTCATCCTTTGGGACCGTTTATCTCTGCACCAACTTTTCATGGTAATCCACCAAATAGTTGTTATTTATATTTCAGTCAAATTGGTGCACCACTTAGTGGGGCTGTGGACAGATACACACACAGACACACACACAATCAAATATATGTTTATGCCTAGTAGAGATAATGATCGCATTGAGCAGGGTTCTTGCATAATTCCTTCCAGGGGAAATCAAACCTGCTCAGTCACTCCTGAAGGACTGGCAGAAAGGGTTAAGTGCTGACTGCTCTACTTTCCTTAAACTCAGCACAAACAGCTGTCTGTCATTCCCGAGCTCTTCCACCCTCGGAAAACGCCGCAGAGATGAGGGGACAATAATTTCTGAAAGGCTCTGCTGTGCAGGTGCATCGGAAAGACAAGACAGAAAAGAAAAGAAACATGTTTTACTGTGTTTACACAGCTTGCAGGGATCTTGATATAACCAGGGGTTGCCTTAATCAAGACTTCCTTCATTTACCAAATTTCGCAAGCCTTTATGGGTTTTTACTGACATTTGAAAAACAATGTGACTTGTGTTACATAAGTGTAACATGAAAAATACAAGTGACATTATAGTTAAAACAGAATATCCAAGCCATGAGCAGACTTGGAGTGCAGGAGAAAGGAGGATTGGATGTTTGGACATCCTAAGGAAAAGATGTTGATCTGAACAAGGAAGCCACCCAACTGATTACATTTATTCCTCGTGGGGAGTACTACTCAGCCTGTAAAAACAGTTGAATTATGTCTTTGACGGCTCTGAATGAATGAAGAAATTAAAAAAAAGCTTGGTTTGGGATTTGAGGACCAGAGTTTGACAGTTCTTTCGTGCCCTTAGAAACATAAGTTGACAAAACAAGAATGTGTGGAGGTGTGGCCATTTCCCTGGCAGGTAGGGTTTAATGAAAGACATTACTAAATTGCATTTGGTAAATGTAGGATCCAGTGTTTTTGGAGCTTGACCCATACTAGGGATTAAAAGTCAGGATATCTCAACCTTTGTTGCTTTAATTTTGACTATTCTTTTAATACTTCTTATTCTTACAAGTGCAATACTAAATTGCGGGAAAACTCTTTAACACCAGAGCACAAGTTATTATCTTTTGTCTACTTCTAAAGAGCATCAAATAATATCTTGCATAGTGACACACTGTTGGTGTGAAGATTAATGAGTGTATTGACATAATCTCATACTTTGGATGACCAAAGAAGCAGTGACCCTAAAGGTGTTTGGTGCTACATGTACTTTATAGAGGCATTAGAAATGGTAGGCAAATGTCTCAAACTTGGTTACAGCATAATTTGCCTTGCATTGGAAAGATTCATCTTGTTTGTACATTTGTTTGTTGCAGGATCCAGATGACCATTTTCCTTTGACACTCCCTCAGTCAAAACATAGCAACATTGTGCCGCCATTTTGTAAGCTGTCAAACCACAACCTGCATTGATTACCAAAGCTGAGGTAAACTAGAAAATATCAAAAAAGACTACTTAGAATATTTTCTTAGAATCAGATGCCAAAGGAACAAGGAACATTTATCTCGGACCTCCCCTTTATAACTGATGGACTTAAATTAGTGGAAATTTCAGTGTTGCAAGTGTCTCCACACTTGCATTTCATATCTAAGGACATAACTAAATATAAAGTGCAAAGATATTGCACCTGCTACATAAGTGCTCAAATATGGCCACCACAGCCAACATGGAAGTGGCAGACATCATCATTGTAGCAATCTACTTCATCCTGGTGCTACTGATCGGCTTCCTTGCCATGTGGAAAGCCAGTCGGAGCACAGTGAGCGGCTACTTCCTCGCTGGTCGCTCCATGAACTGGGCGGCTGTAGGAGCATCTCTGTTCGTCAGCAACATAGGAAGTGAGCATTTCATTGGACTAGCTGGATCAGGTGCTGCTAGCGGGTTCAGCGTGGCTGCATGGGAATTAAATGCTTTATTACTGCTCCAGCTGTTAGGCTGGGTGTTTATCCCTGTGTATATTCAGGCCGGTGTCTACACCATGCCGGAGTACCTGTCCAAGCGGTACGGCGGGAGGCGACTAAAGGTGTATTTTGCCGCATTGTCTCTTATTCTGTATATCTTCACCAAGTTGTCCGTGGACCTCTATTCCGGAGCCTTGTTCATTAAGGAATCCTTAGGATGGAACCTCTATCTGTCAATCATCCTCCTCATTGCCATGACAGCTTTGCTGACAGTCACAGGAGGTCTGGTCGCTGTCATCTACACAGATACGGTCCAAGCATTCCTCATGATCGCCGGGGCACTCTGCCTTACAGGCATCAGCCTCTTCAAAGTGGGAGGACTTGAAGGTCTTTATCTATCTTCTGTTTTCACTGAAATTAACCAATTAATTTATGATTACTAATTATAAAACTGTTTGATCTTTATGCCATACCATATGCTAACCCATGTCCTGATATGTCATTTTAAGGTATGAGGACGAAGTACATGCAGGCTACTCCAAACATCACTGCCATCTTGCTGTCTTCATCCAACCTGACATTTTCTGAATCCTGCCTCCACCACCTAAACCCAAAGCCAGATGCCCTGAAGATCCTTCGAGGCCCAAGGGATCCAGACCTGCCTTGGCCCGGTTTCTTACTGGGCCAGACTCCTGCCTCTATTTGGTACTTGTACAAGTCTTTCCATCTAGACTGGTTTAGTTCCATGTATTTTATGGTCCCCAGAAGATTTATTCCAACCTAACCTGGCCTTTTTTCTTGAAGCAGAAGCAAGCTTGTATAAAACAACAGTGAAAATAAATTGATTGACATTTCTGAGCACATTCATGCTCCCCAGAAGAGCATGGGTGCTTGGTTTTGGATACTTCATGAGCTTCCCTGTTGGGATTTCCTTGGGAAAAAAATTATATGTTTAGCTTATATTGTTCATTCCATCCAATATTTTTGCATTGTAGTCACATGCACTGCAGCTACAGGCCACTGGAAAGATAGCAAGTACTTTTGGTACTTTTTTGGTCTCTACGCTAAAGAGTGAAAATGTTGGGGTGTGACTCAGGAGGTAGAGTGGGTCATCCACTAATCAGACCATTGGCTCTTCGATCCGCAGCTCCTTCTCCTTGAGCAACATACTCATCCCAAAATATCTCCCAATATTGTGCATGGGTATGATTGTGGGTGTATGTGGCATGTCATGTAAAAGCGCTTGTGGTCGGAAGACTAAAAAGTCCCTATACATTGTCGTGCTCGGTAGGGGGCAGGATTTGGGTATTAGCAAAATATTAATAATGATCAAAAATACTTATTAAAAATGTAATAATTAAAATTAATTATTAGGGTAATTAAGTAATTAATATTTTGATTATTAATTACAGAATTTTCCTCGGGGCACCACCCTGTTACCAGGGACTAATCAATCAAATCTGCAATTTACAGTCTCAAAAATATATGTAGGTTACTTTAACTTTAAAATCTAAATATTTAAATCAAAGGTGAGACCAGACATATGAAGGCGTGAATGCAAGCACTGACCCCGCCAACCAGCAAGTTGTACAATAACACTCCACACAATGACCTCAGAAACCGACTATTTAAGATATAATGCAGTTTATTTAACAATGAATCATCAATTAACTGTTATCATATAATTATAATGGGTATACAACAATAACCACTACTAAAGAAATCAAAGATTGGCGAATATATAAATGCCTGGATATAGTGTGTGTGTGTGTGTGTGTATATGTGTGTGTGTGTGTGTGTGTGTGTGTGTGTGTGTGTGTGTGTGTGCACGTGTAGGTGTATGTGTGCGTGTGAGAGAGAGAGAGAGAGAGGGTGTCAGGAGAGGTGGGCGAAGCACACCCACGCGAGGGGAGGTGTGTATCAAGGTGACGGCCTAGATGGAGGAGGAGGTAACGTTACAGTGATGACGAAGTCTCACTGATGACGCTACACTGCCTTCCCAGAATGGCGGTCAGTTTAAATGGAATGTGTGATTTACAAAACGTGTCTGCGTGTTAGGGTACCGTTATCTGGTCCCCAAAATAGCTGGCAAAACACGTGTATAGGTGTGTGTGTGTGTGTGTGTGTGTGTGTGTGTGTGTGTGTGTGTGTGTGTGTGTGTGTGTGTGTGTGTGTGTGTGTGTGTGTGTGTGTGAGAGAGAGAGAGAGAGGGAGAAAAGGAAAAGAGAGCGTGAGAATAACGCGTGCGCACCGGAGCCGAGTTTCTGACCCGCACCCTAGGATATCGAACTGAGTTATACCCACTACAACACAGCGAGATCAGACTCTGATGAGACGATCTCAGGCCTGTGTCTTTTAACTAGCGGGTATACAGTTCAATATTCTCAGATGTGCGGCAGTCTGCGCTCAGCGGGACCTGACACACTTTTGGTAAAACAGCTGTGTCGGCGGCGCGACACTTTAATGTGAAAATCCAATACAATATATATATATATAACTATAAGGACTCAGCGGTCCGTTTCACAGTTATACAGTAATGTGAGGATACAGGTACAATTTATCACGGTAATGATTACACAAATAATACGTTCCTCAGCTGAATAGGAGAGGCCGTGGTCTGGTCCCAGACTAACAGCAGCTGGTCCCTCGTTTGGCAGTGTACAGGATCAGCAAAGTCAACTTATGTGAAGAAAGCAGCGATCAGCGGTTGGTGTTTCTTCTGACACAAAAACTTTGTCCTTCTGCAGGTAGTTAAAGAGAGAACAGCGGCTGCGTGCTGTCTCTGCGGGATCTGAGTTTGAAGACGGATGGCACACTTTTAGAAAAATAAAAAAGGGTTTTTAAAAAGATAAAGAGAATGCTCTCTAGTGCTCTAAGAGTGGTAACTTAACGGACGGTGATCTTAGCGAGAAGCAAGGAGGAGAGAGTCTCTTGGGCTTTTATACCTGGGATGACAGTTCTGGGGTCTGCGCGGATCTGACCAATGACAGGCCGGGGTTTGGGCGTGTAATGGCTCTTAGACCACACCTAGGGCCTCCCCTTTGAGGGGTCTGAGATTTCACGGGCTCCACATTTTATGACTTTCAGTCACCCCCAAACAGGCTTTAGGGTTCCAACAAGGCCCCTGGAAAATCTCTTTGTTCAACCACAAGGCCGGACTCAACAACATGTACAGTCCATTTACTTAGGTATAATGGTACGATGTTCCATACTCACCATATTAGTTTAGTTTTGCTAATTTGCAAATGTTGGCATGCACTAAGCACAAAGTACAGCTCAGGCTGTTCAAAGTTAGGATTTTGACTTGATGGCACAAGATGAAGAGTCAGGAACTCCCCAAAGTGATTACACTGCATCCTGAGGGCGGCATTTCTGTACAGTGTACAGAGGAAAAGTCAGGGAATCACCAAAGTCAGTAGGCTTTAACCTCAGGTAACCTTATCTGTATCTGAAAAGGCAATTGATCCAATTCAGTCTCTATCCAAGTGGTGAGCTAAACGACCAGCCAACATTGTCATCCCTGTTTAAAAATGACCCTAACATAGCAATATGTCTGATCCCTGCCCACAAAGCTAGTCTTTGGCGTCTGTACAAACCGCACAGGTAATGGGGAGTGAACCAGTATTCTTGCTGATAATGCTGCTTGATACTTTGACTAATTGACCCAGCATCAAATTAATTATTAACTCAATGTGTTCTCACTGTGTGTTCCAGGTACTGGTGTGCAGATCAAGTGATTGTACAGCGGGTTCTGGCAGCGAAGAACATTGCCCATGCCAAAGGTTCTACTATCATGGCTGGCTTTCTGAAAATACTTCCAATGTTCATCATTGTCATTCCAGGTAGAGCCATTAATTGATTTTTGAGTAACTTACACCTAAATCCCTGACTGTGGACCCAATAAATGACTGATTTGAATGATTTGTTCATCATGATTCCAGGCATGATTTCCAGGATCCTCTTTGCTGATGAATTGGCATGTATCAGCCCAGAGCACTGCATGGAAGTGTGCGGTTCTGCAGCTGGCTGTAGCAACGTGGCTTACCCACGGCTCGTCATGTCAGTGATGCCTGTTGGCCTACGTGGTCTGATGATGGCTGTCATGATTGCAGCTCTAATGAGCGACCTGGACTCAATCTTCAACTCAGCAAGCGCCATATTCACGTTGGATATTTACAAGATGCTGCGAAAGCAGGTGTCACCCAGGGAGCTGGTGATAGTCGGCAAGTTGTTTGTGGTTTTCATGGTGATCATCAGTATTGCCTGGGTACCGGTCATTATCAAGATGCAAGGAGGCCAGATGTTCTACTACATCCAAGAAGTGTCAGATTACCTGACTCCACCCATAGCTGCTCTCTTCTTGCTTGGCGTCCTGTGGCGTCGCTGCAACGAAACGGGTGCCTTTTGGGGTGGTATGGTGGGGTTTGTCCTTGGAGCGTTGCGTCTGATTTTGGCATGTGTTTACCGTGAGCCTCACTGCAGCCAGCCTGATGAGCGGCCATCTTTCATCAAAGATGTTCATTTCATGTATGTGGCAGCTATCTTGTTTTGGTTGACAGCTTTGGTGACTATAGTTGTGAGCCTCTGTACTCCTCCACCCAGAAAAGAACAAATCAGAACCACTACTCTGTGGGGGTTAAACAAGAGAAAGAGGCTAAAACAGCAAGAAAATGAGAAAGCAGGAGAAGGCATCAATGCTATGAAGCCTCTAAACCATGTAAGCCTAAATGGGAACCATTTCCTTGGTAAAGAAAAGTGTCAAGACCACCTAAACAAGCAGGCCAATCATGAAAATTCTCAACCAAGCAATGGTCATGCTATCACAGCCAGTGATATAGAAACTCACCATCCAGTTCAGAATGGTTTCCACTCACCAATTTGTGACCCTATAAAGGTAGAAGAGAGAGGTGTGAGGGATGGGGTGGAGGAAGAAGAGGGCGGCTTTGGTGGAGGTGGAGTGGAAGGTGGGAGGTGTGTGAAGGTTTTAGAGTGGTTCTGTGGCTTCCAGGAGAAGCCGTCCAAAGCTCAGGTCATTACAGTCCAGGAACAGGAGAAGATTGTGGATGAGCTTCTCCATGAACCTCTACATACCAGAATTATTCTGAACACAGGACTGGTGGTGATTAGTTCTGTCGGGGTCTTTCTCTTCATCTATTTCTCCTTATAGGCTTGGTTAATTCCAAGCAGTGGGCCACGTTTGTCCTAACCTACAAGGTCTGCAGGTAAGCTGTCCTTCAGTTTTTCCTCAACTTTAAACATGAGCATGGTATTACAGGAAAACTGGTATTTTATTCTCATGAGAACTTTTTGTCAGATTGCAAATTACCATGTTTAAAAAGCCATTTGTGTACATGGTAAAGGGTTATGTTTGTCATTTTGGTCCTGTTTTTTCCCTGCAAAATTGGATTTTTGGGTAGAGATATGCTCAGGATTAGGTTTAGGAGCCACTTTTTAAAAAGAGGTTTGTTTTTTAACAGTACTTTGTTGTATATTCTAAAATATATTTTCTACACTGTATGGTGATAACTGTGAAGCTGGCTTCAGTGTGCTTCAAACAAACTCATTCATAGAAAGTGTCTGAAAGCATTGCAATATGTCTGAAAGCAAAGGTGTTGACAAAATGATCACACTCGAGGGCAGGCTGAGAGTGTGTCTGCCTGCTATCATAAAGAGGGGTGAGACACAATTAATTTTATAAATAATTCTGCAATGTAGGGCGATAATGGCACCTGACTGGAAAATTGGCATCACCAGATGTTTATCAAAAAATGATATATAGATATATATATATATAGTATACAGTAGAAGTGCCACCTTATCTCTCAAAGTCCATCATGCAACACTTCATTTTCGATGTTGGTAATTGATCTCTGAGACTTTTCTTTTTTTGGATTTGGAATCTGTAACTAGCCTCGCTAGGGAGACTCAATACTAGTAGCTAATGCTATTGTGATTCAACAAAGAATAGAGGAAATAGCACCAGGTCATGATGTAACATGTTTTTACTTGTTCAACATGTTCAACATTTTTATCATTTGTATAATAATTGCCTTATTGTAACTTTTTAACACTGTGCAGGTAAACTGAATACAATTTAGAACCTGTTCTATGCAAGAGAAGTCAAGGCAAATAACTTGATATTTCTCAATGTGACTATTGTAAGGATTTTCTCAGGAAAAGGAAGTTTTCCTCCCTCATCTGGCTGTAGGGAGTTCTTGCACCATTGTTTTACACCATTGTTTTACACAATAAAAATAAGAATGGAATACCAAGATCAGTGTTCTTTCATTGGATGTCAGTCCAGTTCAATATCTTAGTCACTGCTGATCTCTTGAAAATGTTTTCTATGTGACTAGAATGATACAGAGGATTCAAATTAGGTTTCATTGGCTGTAAAGAGCTTGTACAGGGTCATCAAAAGTACTTAACACCGTCTATATCACTATATCACGGTCAAAAGTGAACTTGACACCGTTCAGCACTCACAGGTCATTTTTTAATGGAAAAAGCACAACAGCTAACCAAACTGGTTGTTCTAGTCCACTTAAAGGCCTCCACCAGAATATGTACATAAGGGCTATTGTATGTTAACAGTGTGTGGTGAACTGATTTGCCTGACAGAATGAAAAAAATACAAATAGTACAAATTAACATTATAGTGACAGGTTAGTGAGTGGGACTTCAGCATAAAGTTTCCTGGTGAATACATTCCCAGCAAGCTACCACTTACATAATCGTTCACTTCATAACTTCATAAGTCCCGCCCCTTTTTCAGTCTGTGCTCCAATTAGTTGAGCAGGTCAGAAAAGACACATTTTGAAGATCATTAAAACATGAAAGTGCCATATAGTCACATCTTAAGTTAGCTAATGTTAGCAAAACACACATTACACACAATTTTCACTTATCCAGCTAAGAACTTCACATATGAGAGTATCATAACTCGGTAATGGAGTGTAGTGTGTGCGCTTTCTGCCCTTCTACCGCGTTTGTCAAGCACATAGGGGTGGATCAACAAAGTCGCTGAAAGTGTAGACTATAGAGAATGCTTGATTCTGATTAGCCAAACACTGTGCATTATTTGCCATATAGCTCTTACTGCGTTCCCTTATTAGTTTTTAATGAATTGTCACAGCTGGAGGACCAGTACCAGGCTACACACGCTTCTACACACTCTTAATGTCCCATAATATCAACAAACTAGTTGAAATGTGATTCCTTGTGCCCATGTCAAAAGCACGATGATGTAATTTGTGATTAGTATAAATAATGCTATTCCCCATATATTTAACACTGGTTCTTTTTACCGTTACTGGCAACTTCCAAGACATATTTCGGAGATTGTACTCATTACTAACTGCATATATTGTTACTTAGTTCTTCACTAGAAATCTAGTTTGTGATATATAATAATAATAAAAGGCAGTAAGGCAAGAGGAAATAACAGGAGAAGCCGAGGAAAAAAACTAAATGTGAAAGTAAAACTGCTGCTTGAGAGCAGAACACCTCAGGCAAGGACATGTATTTAAAGGCACCACAACAAGCAAACATGCCGCCACTCAATCAGGTAAAATGACATTAACAACATCCTCTGTTGCAGTGGAAAGTTACAGACTGTTGGTGGAAAGTTACTGGGTAGAGACCACCCCCACTAGCTCACTGCACTCACTACTTGTTTGGTCTCGTCAAGTTCATGATCCTGCATCACAGGCTGACAAAGTTGAGCTGTTTTCAGGAAGTGTCACTTTCTTTCTTAATAAATTGATAATCATCAAACAGGAAACTTTCAAACTGAATAAAGGTCCTAATGTAATGGAAACAGTTTTTGCTTGTGCTGAAATGAGTATTAACAAAGTAAGTTAACACTTGGAATATATGATGTTCAAAGGTATGTACATAGTAAAACCAGAGCTTAAAGGGGAACTTTAAAATGCAGTTAAAATATCTGTGCAACATGATCAGGGCCTTTACGTGACAACAACATGCCTTTTCAACTCATACGTTGTGCAGAAACTGTACAAAACAGTACTGTCCCCTACCTGTTTTTCCACCGCTCGCTTCACCGAAAGCCCAGAATAATCGACTTCAGCGCGAGAGCAGTCTCTGGAAGAACAGGTAGGCGTCAGTACTGTGTTGTACGGTTTCTGCACAACGTATGAGTTGAAAAGGCATGTTGTTGTCACATAAGGGCCCTGATCATGTTGCACAGACATTTTAATTGCATTTTGTGTCTGTTAAGAGGAGCAAAAGGCGCTCTTTAGGATATGCCCCCGAGAAGTGTATTATAACTAACTGGGAGCTCTGGCCATTAGGTGCAGGAACTACAGTTTGCTAGCATCGGTTTTGGTCGTTGTTTTTCCTATCGACAGTACTCGGTGACCTCTGGTAATCAAGACTAGGGTAAAAATCTGCCGAAGTTCCCCTTTAAACATGTCTGAAGTTTTATCCAAATTTATTCAAAATGACATTTGAATTCTAAACACCTTCATAAAGGTTTGATAATCATACTTTGTACAAAGTACAGACTTAAACAGTGGTTTGCACAACACCCATTTTAAAATATCACTGTAGGAAAAGTCAGTAGAACATGTAAGACATGTAAAAGTGGCCCCCAGAAATTGCTGGGCCCCTGAAAAGGTCCAAGAAATAGTCCCTCCCCAAATCAGATTTACTCATTCAGTAAGTGCGTCCTCTCACTCCCTCCTTCTTAAACTCATTCATGTAAACTGAGAGAGAATTATTCAGTGATGGGGGCTGCACCATGGATGGATTAAGGACATTATTGCTGGCCTCCATGGATCCCCCCTAGCAGCTGCACTTGGATTTAATTAATTAGAGACGTTTACATGTTTCATGGAACTGTGTAAATTATTTCCAGTGTGTCTCTATTGTGTAGAAGGAATTAACCATAATACACTGTGATGTGTGGAGAGAGCTTTTCTTGTGTTGTTGGTTGCTGAAAAGAGGCTTCAGATGTTTCCAAAAGCAGTGGTTGACATGTTCACATTGACAAAGAATGATGAGCAGTGTAACAGGTAAGTTGTATAAATATTAAACTGCTCCTCAACGACAGTTTCTGTTCCATTTAACCACTGAATACACATCCTGTATGTGTGTGAGGGAGAGAGTATAAAATTAGCGACCCAGTTGGGACCGACCATAAACCACAGAAAACATGTATGGGTGTGGAGTATGAGTCTGTGTATTATAGTTTAAAACCTGCAAGATGCTCGGAATTCATACCGTGTTCGACTTTGGTAGACCATTTTGGTGAGTCAGTTGTTGATGCAAAATCCCCCACAAGAAAAATACAAATGGTATTTTATCAGAAAAGCCACCACATATACACATAATGGAAAACAATACCAGCATAACTTCCACTTGACCTTGATAGACTAAGTTACCCGACAGATTAAAAAAGAATTGAGGCCAAGATACCCTGACTTTTAGTTCCTAATATGGCCGAAGTTCCAAAAATGCTGGATCCCAGGGCAAATGCCAACGTTTGGTCAAGCCCCTTGGTGTCTCCATACTGACGCACAAGGTACCCTTTTTACTGCATTCACAAGGAATCAGGCGGTAGACAGCAAAACCAGATGTCATGTTAGTATGTTAGTGGATGAGCCCATGACGTTAACTTTTTGCCATCCTCAACGGCAGTATTTAAACTGTTACATAGCTCCCTCACACAAGGAGGAAACTTTTTTTTTTTTTGAAAAAGTACAAAAATAAACTATTCTGGCATTTTTCATAGTACATACACTTTGCAAGTGTAAAGAGAATGCCAGGTGAACATCATCCAACATTAGTGCAAGCCAACTCACAATAAGAACATGCACATTAGTGCTTCAATACAATACATTCGGGGCAATTGAAATAAAATTAAAATAAACATCTCAAAATAAATAGTCAAAAATAAAATATATATAAAATAGGATAAACATTGATTTCATAAGGGGGACTCAAATCAATGTTAACTATTCATTTCAGTGGGAAAATTCTTTGTTATCATATAATTTTTGTGCCTTCATTTCTGTTAGAAGTTTTAAAAATTTCATGTACAATTTAAATTCATTCATGAAGACAATACATTTGGGTGATGACTTCATAACTCTGGCTAGACAAATAAATTTGGCTAGACAAAGGATGACATTGCAACAGAGTTCATCATTTTAGTTTTGCAAGATCATACCGAAAGTGACATCATCTCTAGAGATAGCTGGAAATAAAACGATTTTTTGTTTGATCCAATTGTGAATGTTAACCCAGAATGTTTGTATTATATCACATGAGAAAAAGATACGGTCCGCGGTTTCAATGTCATTTTCACAGAATGTGCATAAATTGTCAGTGATATTAAAGCGTAGTCTAAGTAATTCTTTAGAAGGATAAATGTTGTTCATCATTTTAAAGTGTGTTTCTTTCATTTTGGGGGGCATAGGACATTTTAGGTACATTGTTCTTAGTTTAGCAATTGATTTATTATCAAATTTATGTAGGATATTATTTTTGTTTTGTCTACCGGGGAACAATGTTTCAGTGAGGCAGTTTCTTATAAAATGATTTTTACATTTTTTGTCCATGATTAAAATCCCCTGTATTGACAATGGGCCCAGTTGTGGTATTATAGGTTGGTGGGCCAATACATTTTTTGTAAGAAATATAAATCCATGAGGAAGTGCTTTTTGTAATTTAATAAAGTCTGATTTGAAAGGGTTGAATTTATGTTTAGTGCAAAATTGTTGATAATCTAAGAGATTACCATTGGCATCCATTAAGTCAACTACAGACCATATATTCCTCTCATACCAATCCTGATAATATAATGATTTATTTCAGTATAAAACATATCTATTATTCCAAAGCATAGTAAAGTGAGGTGAAAAGTTATGCACATATAGCATTTTCCAATATTATAGAATTTGTTTATGAAACTCTGACAATGGTATAGGTCATTTATCGATGTTGAAGTCTGCCATAAGAAGACATTTTAAACCTCCAATCTTATTGAAAAGGGAATTTGGGACACAGTACCAAAATGAGTTGCTATGTTTGAGCCAAGATTTCAGCCAATTCATTTTTAAGGTTCCATTGAGGCAATCAAAATCAATAACTTTTAAACCACCATCTTTCATTTCTTTAACCATATTGCTTTTTTTCATATAGTGTGGCTTGTTTCTCCAAATAAAATTCAGATTAATTTGGTTAATAGATTTGATTAGTTTATTTGAAATAGCATTAGAGTAGGCTGGGTAAATGCACCTTGATAAAC